GGGGGGTGGGGGCTTGGGCAGGCAGTGCTGGGCCCATGACGCGGCTGGCAGTCAAGGGAGGGGGTGCGCTGGGGCCCAGGCTCTTCTTCGGCCTGTTTTTGTTTGTTTGTTTGTTTAAGTCTTATTCCTCCCTCCCCACTGGGGCAGGCTCAGGGTGGCTTAGAATATGTACCAATAAATGTATATACAATGAAACTCCGTGATATTATCATAAAATTCAATTAAAATTACTGTACATAAACTGTAACCACTCCAATAAAAGGTGGCAGCGTCCTCATGTCAATGAGGTGGTCGCTCCACCCCTAACCCTGGCTGTCGGTCGTTAGGATGGCAGTAACATCGATGTTAATATTAGGGCCCGGTCTGTGGGAGCCAAAGGGGGAGGCTGGCTGACTGTGTGAGAGACACCACTCTGTACATGCTCAGAGTTATCGGCTTCATTAGGAGTCCACGTGTCTTCAGGCCGACCTCCGAGGCCACAGCTGGCCGGCTGGAGGGGAGGCTTGCGGCTGCGCCCGTGGCTGGGACTCCCTCCTTCCCAGGCAGCCCCTCTCGCCCTGGAGTCCTCCCCGGGGACTCCAGCAGGGAAAGGGGCCTGCACCCCCGCCAGGCGGGTGGGTATGGGAGGGACGCTGGGGGGGGACGCCTTCTTGACTTCCTCCCTTTCCGACACCCGCCAGAGGCTGCAAGAGCTGGTGATCCCCCTGCTGATCCGCCTGGGCCAGGCCGAGCCCCTCCCCGGCTCCCCCTACGCGAGGGCCAGCTGCCGCCGGGAGCTCTACCGCCTGCTCTTGGCCCTGGTGCTGGCGCCGGCCCCCTCCTGCCCGCCACCTCTGCATTGCGCTCTCAGGCTGCTGAGCCAGGGGCGCACGGATGCCCATCTCCAGGTAAGGGTGGCTCTCGCCTTCCCCAGCCAGGCGGCCCAGGCCCCTCCCTCGGGTCCGGGGGGGGGGGCGCGTTCTGCCTCCATGGTGATGGAGGGGGGCTTCCTGCACACCCGCTCCTCCTCTTCCTGAGGCCGGCCTTCTCCTCTTCCTCCTCCCCCCTCCCCCCTGCAGGTCTCTTCCTTCTGCGCCGAGGCCCTGGTGTTCTGCAGCGCCCTCCTCCACCCCCGGGTCCCCTCCTTGCAGCTCCCGCTGGCGGGGCCTTCTGGCCCACCCCCCGGCTCCTCCGAGATCTCGCCCGCCCTGGCTTCCCCCTTCCACCC